CGAGTTGTTCTCGGGAAGTAGCCATAAGATAAGTGATCGTCCTGTGGATCTGACATCGCAAATCCAAGCGAGAAATGAAGAGAATCCTCCGAAATTCGCTCATGTTTCTCCACCGGTAAGTACTCGGAGGTACGAGGTTTGCTACCCATATTGTCAATGCGGAAATGGCAGGTAGCAGAGCTCGCCGACTGGCCAATGCGATCAGCTAGCGACTAGAGCACGCCAGCGCTGTTACACGTACGGGAGACGCAGTAAGCGAGTGGGTCGTACACCGGATACAGTATACGAGGTAAAGCTGAGGTCTGGGGTGATGTGTACTGATGGGCACGAGTAGATGGGCACAGCACGCAGCGTGCCCTGCCGGAGGATCGCCTCAGGTATGAGAACGTGCTGAGTGAACGCTTGATAGTCAGAGGCTGTCTCGACGACGATGCGCGGCTAGATGGAGGCACGCACTGCAGGTTGCCGTTCAATGAAAGTCACAACTAGGCTGGAATAGCCTCGCAGCGGCTCCGCGCCCTTGCTGGTCAAATGCTGGCCCAAACACACAACCTTCGCTTCATAAGGACCACACCACATGCCTCGTGCCGCTGCCGCGCATGACACCTCCAGCAGATAGTTTCCCAGATGTGAATGCCACCGGCAGCCGAAGCAGCCTCTAGACTGTCACTTTCCCCGAGTCTATCCGTTGTCTTCATGCAGGGTCGAGTGGAGACGGAGGACTGGCAATTGCGACCGGAGCTATCGCCGAAATGAAGGCTACAAGTCTTCTGGAACCCGTTTTAGCTCCATCAAAAATTATCGCGGCATAGAATTGGGTGTCGAGTCAGAGTCGGTGGATGATCCTAAGCATAGTAATACGCAAAAACCCAGCCAACTAGGAGCTATTGTATTGGACATGTAAAACGTGACCAGCTAACTTGGACGGGATTCTGTTGTTTGTATCCGTACAGAAGCAATCTTCCAATAGATTGATAAACATATCTAATTAACAATGCGATGAGGATAACAATGCGGTGAGATCTCGAAAGTACAAGGATCACCCACTTTCGCCATGTGAGTAATTTGCACGCAGATGTCCAGAAGAGGTGGTAACAGCCTAGAGTGCATGCGTCTGGCGGAGCTCGGGGGTCACGTCAGCGGCAACTCTGTTCTCGGCCATGACAAGAAGGCCTTGGGGAAATGTATCGTAGCAAACAGAATGGATATGTTCGACCGTCGCTTGTAGCCGTTGATCGCGAAACTTCGAGCCAAAGAACCATGACACCCCAGCCTCAAGTTGCGATGAGAACATGTTGCCATAAATCATTTCAAACCTTGTGTTCCGCCATACATCGGGGTTCAGAATAAGGGTCCTGCTTCTGGTGCTCCGCGCTGCACCTTCAGCCATACTCGCCTGCCTTGAGCCAATCGGGCATCACCGTGTAATTGAGACCGATCGATGAGGCGCTTACCGACGCGGCCATCGTCTTGTCTGGGACATGCGGAAGCATATCGGTCCTCTCAACCACGGAAAATCCTAGTTAAGCCAGCGCGGTTCTTTCTCTGTCAGTTGATTCAAATAATATGGTCTTCAAATTCGCCTGCATCTATCATCTGTGCCAGTTTTATCAGAAGGAACTGACGCCATCCGTGGAATATGCAATGTTCGCCACGGTCGTGTTGTACATGACTTGCGATGGCTGAAGGAACTTAGCCGCCTCAGCTTGGATGAAGTGCTTGAACCCACGCTGGTCAATGGACATCATGTTGTCGTCTCCGAAGCCGCCCATATTCGGGTCGTAAGTGAAGTTGTTATTCTGTCAATGAAACATTAGTATGTAGATAGCCCATAAGGATCTTCCACGTACCCAAGAGCTGGCGATCAAAGAGGACTCGACAGGTGTCTGCGCATACTCCCAGTCAAATTGATAATATTCACAGGCCTTCTCAGCAGGCGTCGTAGGCTTCGCGTCAATTGAGAGAGTATCCGCTTCGAGCAGTAAGTCGGCCAGCTGGTTCTCCACGCGCTCTCCAGCGACCACCGTTAGCGTCGTAAAGTATTCGTCGGAATCGTTGAAGATATCAGTGTAGTTCACTGCGCCGCTTTCGTCATAGGTCGCTGGTTGAGGGAGCCGTCAGATGTCGTTCATTCGCAGGACATATGTACCGCGACGTACTTATGCTGCCGGACCAGTCGCTATACACAGTCTTGACTTGGTGCTTCTGCACCAGTTCCCAGATGGGGTTCACCGGCCCGTCGGCTGTTTGCGTGCCTTGCACCCAGTTAGCACCTCTCTCGACCACCCATTCGTTGCCTGTCACGCCAATAGTCTCGGTCTGCAAACGCCCGCCGAGTTCATCTTTTATCAAAAACGTTCGTGAGATCAAACACTGTCGCGTCGGAGAGAACCACGCTCTTACCTCGAGCCTCCACGATAATGAAGTCGGTGATGCCCTGCTCGTACAGAGTCCGCGCAGCGATCACTCCTGCCACTCCACCGCCGAGAATGAGCACCGTAGGGTGTACTTCCCTGATGTTGCTCTCATGCTGTGCTCTTCCGATTGAGCGAGCAGCTGCTGGGATGCTCATGGCGAATAGCATTCCCAGGCCATACCGACGGCGGGATCTCGGGAAGAACATTGTCGAACAGCAAACCAAAGCATCCGGATGAGGAGAGAGAGAGAGAACTTGGATGGGCGGTGTATAACAGCACCCACATTGCCAGTGATGCATATTTGTTCCTCTTATACCTGCGGGCTCCATGGGGATGGCTAATCAGTCTAGCATGTACTTGATATCTGTGCTTTTCCGTAAATCATATGGAAAAGATGAGAAGAAGTGCCTGCCGTTCACGCATCCTTACTTCCAGATAAGAGCGTTGTGCTAGGTGTCGTGTCTGATCAGGCAGGTGATAGATTAGCTTTGGCCGACAACTGGCAATTGACAACTGACAGGCGAGCGCGATACTTACACGTAGAGCGACTGAGCTCTCTCCGGTCGGTGCGATACTCGGAGTCCAGAAGTCGCGGTGGCGTCCTTCTGATGGACAGGATCAGACATCGCATCGACAGAGCATGCGGGCGCAGCAGACTGAAGCGAGGCACCGGTCCTCCGGGAATGGAGCCAAGTCAAGAGAATGAGATTATAAAAGCGATGTAGATATCCCGGATCTGGGCTAAATCGGACGCATATGCACGCTCCGACGACAGCAGCTCCTGTAGCGCATAAGTCCGTTTTGATACGGAAGTTGACAGGAGCGACGATGAGCCCGAACTAGAGACCGTGTGGGACTGGTCTTCGCGTTGAGGCTCCTGTTCGGTGTGACCTCGAATTATTTTACCGACATCGGTGAACTGCAAATCAAGATGGCACAGGGCGCGAAGCCCGGAGAAGGAGGCGAGCTCCGGGGACATAAGGTGTCCACTCCCATTGTTCGCACTCGTCATTCAACTACATGCGCCGGTCTCATGAGTCTCGCCGTCACCTCATCACGATATCTATTCCATCGAGGATCTCAAGCAGGTTATTTACGACCTGAAATGCTCGAATCCCAGGGCACGTATTTCCGTGAAGCTGGTGTTGGTGTTGGTACTTGGGTGGAGTTGGCGCGGCCGCGCTGGTTCCAAATAACAGACCAGAAACGGTCGGGTCAGATACAGATCTACAAGAGGTATTCAAATTATACAATTCCGTGGAAACGCTCATCGATTTCTTGCCTGCGTTCAGGACGTTCGCGACAGGACGTCTCGTGACGGTCGCACCGTGGTATGAAAGTAATTGCCAAAGCACCGCGGAGCGAAGCGAAGTAGCTATAGTCCGAAGCGGCACGTGTGCTGCTAGCACAGAGTGGCAGTACGGAGCACGAACATGCGCGAGAAACGACCAGAGATACGCAATGAACTTACAAGTGTTCAGACGCCAGGACGTAAGCGCAAGAGCACGGCCAATGAGGGCCGGATGCTGGCTTACTAAGCAGGTGGACGAGAAAGAGACGCGCTCACCTGACATAAGGTCTATTCTCCGCCGGGATTGGTCGGCGCCATCTTCCCAGCATCCTCCGGTGGTTCGGTGAGGCCTAACCCCAGGTTTCGGATTTTGCTGACGGATATTGGGCGCAACACTGCAACATTGTCAGTTGCACCCAGCAGCCATCACGCAATGACACCAGGAAGGCCAATCAGCAAACGACCAAGACCTACGGAAGAAGCAGAGGAGGAACAAAACCGACCTTCCAAGAAACCAAAATGGATGAACGATCGTGCTCTTCCATTCCCCTTTGTTGAAATATTACTTGGTTCATATACACCTCCGCCTCCATCCACCCTTCCACCTCTCGTTGTCAAGGGCGAAGAAGACGAGGATACCGTTTATCAATGTGCAGCAATGCTGTACATACTCGAAGTGGAAAACGGTGGTGACAAGTGGGCCAGACAAGGGACTGGCCATGGGAGAGTCCGGATCAATGTGCGCAAGGACGACCCGACCAAGGCACGACTAAGTATGTCTCACATTGTTTTCAGGGACTGTGCGTTCATTTGAGCTAATTGAATGCTCTATGATAGTCATGACGGAGGATCCCATTTGCGCCGTGCTGCTGAACATCGAGCTCGTGAAAGGCATGGGATGGACCAAGAGCGGGGGGGACGCTATCAAATTCGTCGCGTTCGAGAACGGTGAAATAATTAAGTACAATCTAAGAGTACGCCAGCTCCCCCCATCACACCATTGAAATACATCTAATCACACGGACTCCCGCAGCTGCCCACTTGGTCCCATGTAGACGACTTCTACATGGAGATCCAGGCATTCACGCAGTCTGATGAGGAGCTCGCGGAGCGGTACGCTCGCCTCCAGCAGCAGGAGCAGCAGATTTCGAAGGCGAACGCTCACCTCCAGCAGCAGGAGCAGCAGATCGTGGAGCGATACGCTCACCTCCAGCAGCAGGAGCAGCAGACTTCGAAGGCGAACACTCGCCTCCAGCAGCAGGAGCAGCAGATTTCGAAGATGAACGCTCGCGTCCAGCAGCAGGAGCAGCAGATTTCGAAGATGAACGCTCGCCTCCAGCAGCAGGAGCAGCAACCTGCGAAGGCGAACGCTGCCCTTCAGGCACGGGAGGAGCAGATCGTGGAGGCGACCGCTGACCATGCGGTGCGGGAGAGGCAGATTGCGGAGGCGCACACTCGCCT